CTTCGGGCATGTGTACTAGATTTCGGTGGCAGTTGGGATACGTATCTTCCGTTAGCGGAATTTTCGTATAACAACAACTATCATTCCAAATATAGACCGACCTCCCTTTGAGATGCTCTACGGGAGGAAGTGCAGGACCCCAATATGTTGGGGTGAGGTCGGTCAGAGAGTCATGGGGAGTACGAATGTAGTACTCAAGATCACGGAGCGAATTCAACAAGTCCGGAGCAGGCTCCAGACTGCTCAGAGTCGGCAAAAGAGTTATGCCGACAAGCGGCGTTCGGACTTGGAGTTTCAGGTGGGCGATATGGTCCTACTGAAAGTGTCACCCTGGAAGGGTGTTATCAGATTTCGGAAGCGGGGCAAGCTGGGCCCCAGGTTCATTGGTCCGTTTAGGGTTTTGGCCCGGGTGGGTCGGGTTGCTTATCGATTAGATCTTCCAGCAGAGCTCAGCCAGATCCACAACACGTTCCATGTTTCTTAGTTGCGGAAGTGCTTAGTGGATGATTCAGCAGTGGTGCCCCTGGAGGACATTCAGGTTGACGATAGCCTGAACTATATCGAGAGACCAGTGATGATTCTAGATCGCAAGGTGAAAGAGCTGAGGAACAAGAGAGTAAAGTTAGTGAAGGTGCAGTGGCAACACCGCAAGGGCTCGGAGTGGACATGGGAGCCCGAGGAGGAGATGAGAGAGCACTACATGGAGTTGTTTCCAGATGCAGCAGACTTCGAGGACGAAGTCTAAGACAAGTGGGGGAGAATTGTAACGCCCCATTCCTGGTACGAAAGTAATTCTCTATATGTTCATTTTATAAGGGCTACTCGACGAGTTGGTAGCCCTAACTCGTCGAGTAGATGCGAGCTGGACCGCGGAGTTTAAGTGGACTACTCGACGAGTCGGAAATGGACTCGACGAGTAGGTCCATCAGGAGGAAACCCTAATCCTTAGGGTTTGCACCCTATTTAAGCATCATTATGAGTCCTCACCCCAACCTCCATCACCTCTACAGTCCATTCTCGAAACCCTAGCAACCATTGAGTGTCTTAAAACCTTTCTTGCCATTTTTGTGTGATTTGAAGTTAGGAGAAGGAAGAGATCCATTGGTGATTCAAGAAGAGGCAGAAGATCCAGAGTTTTAGTTGCATTTCAGAGCTCTTGAAGGTATAAAGTTTATACCTTGGCTTATTTTCACTTAGATCTTCTTGAAAGCTTGTTTGTTGCCATTTTTGAATCCTTTCCAAGATAATTTCGGGTAGAGAGCTTTTGGGGCTATAAGGACTTTAGATCTAGGCACTCTTGAGCTCCAGAAGCTCAAAGTTACCACCTTTATTCAGCCAAGGTCCCATTCTATGCCCTAGACTCTCATTTCTAGTTTGTTTTGGGTGATTTAGCTTCATAGTAGCATGCATGCACGTAAAGTTAGCAACTTTACGTGTTATTCTAGCCTAAGGAGTCTAGATCTATGAAACGGAAGCAGTGGAATCACCTAGGAACAACTGTATAGTCTGAACATGCAATGGACTCGCCGAGTTGTTCTTGGGACTCGACGAGTCGAATCGATGTACCCAAACCCTTCTGTGATCATGAGTGAGACCACTGAGTTAAGGAGATGACTCAGCGAGTTGGACATGAGTGAGACTCGGAAGCAAAAGAACTCGACGAGCCCAAGGTGAGACTCGACGAGTAGGATCGAGATGTCCCGATGTTATGACCATGGGAACTCGACGAGTCAGTAGAGGGACTCGGCGAGTTGGGTTGACTGAGAGTTGACTTTGACCTTAGCGTTGACTTTGATCAGAAGGGTAAAATGGTCATTTTACCCTAAGAGAGGTTACTAGTTTTTGATTAAGTGTTGTTATGGAATTATAGCCGGAGAGTCGCCGGAGCAGCAGATAGGAATCCCTCGCCCAGTTTTTCAGCAGCCAGCCATGCGATGTGAGTTTCCTTCCAGTAGGAACGGGTCTACGGCCACAATGCCGGCCCGTTAGTTGGTAGTAGTTCCGGACTTCAGTCCGATGCCGGGCGGGGCCCGATGCAGTAGTATGTATGCTTGATGTCTTCGTGATTCATGCATGTTTGTGATATGTGTTATATGATTCGGACTTCGGTCCGACATCGGGCAAGTCCGATGCAGTTTATGTGATTATGCTATATGTTCATGCTATGTTATGTTAAGTTTATACCGGACTTCGGTCTGATGTCGGGCGGGGCCCGATGCAGTGGGCGGGGCCCAAGTTATTCCGGACTTCGGTCCGATGCCGGACGGGGCCCGATGCAGTGGGCGGGGCCCGAATTATGCCGAACTTCGGTCCGATGCCGGGTGGGGCCTAATGCAGTGGGCAAGGCCCAGTATATGTTATTTGTGTTGTTGTATGGTATGTGGTAGTTTGGGGGAGCTCACTAAGCTTTGTGCTTACAGTTTTCAGTTTTGGTTACATGTACTTCCACTAGCAAAGGGAAGGGCCCGGGTTGATCGCATGACACGCACCACAGTCACAGCCTGGGAGTTCACTCTGATGATTTGATATGAGATTTTGATTTGAGACAGATACTATGATGTTTTATGATACATGATTATGATTTCACTTATGATTTTGGATGGTTGATGGTTTTAATAATGTTTTTAAAAACAAAAATTTTGGGTTGTATTCTTGGGGTGTTTCAATTAGCCGATGGAGTCTAAACAAAAGTTGTAGAGTACGGTCCCGCTTACGCGTGGATATAAAGAACGTCGAAAACGGAGCTCGTATGCGAGAGTTATGAATTTTTGAAATCGGGAAGGAAAATTGCGAATCTGCGAGGGGGTGATGACGTGGCTCGAGCTGGGCCGTCGCTTGCTGATCACGGATTAGCCTTCGGATTCGGACACCTGGCCTCACTACGCCACACGTTCAAGAGGAGTGACCTGCGTCCGAAGGAACGCTGCGCGTACACCGAAGCTCCTGCGGTTCCGAATGCGGCCACAATGCACCACCAGCGAGGCGACACCTCAGCGTACGAACACGCCGCGTTCGAGGCTACGCGCTGCGTAGACCGAGGACCTCCGGCCTATAAATAGGGTGCGAGATTTCCCCGAAAAATCACTCCAAAACCTTTTCTCTCTCTCACTACTTTCTCTCTATAGCCTACCCTAACCCCCTAAAAGCCTAAGTAAACCCCCTAGCACCCGAAGGAAGCCCCGAGGCTCCCGGAGCCCCGAGAAAAGAGCCTTTCGGCTCAGAAACGCCGCTTCGGTGAAGCCCGGTTTTTGAGAAAAACCCGCTGTAAGTGAGCTACGCCTACCTAATTTTTAATATAACTTTTATTTAATTATAGTAACGTTATTAGGACCTTATAATAATTAATTGGGCTATTATTATGAGTTATATAAGTGTCGTTATAATATCTTTTTAACCACTTGCGGTACGGGGAATCTGGTTTGGAGGGCCACTTGGGTTGCTGAATTTCAGAAGTGCTATATGCCAAAATGATCCTGCCCTCCGGTGTTCCATGTCTGGCCCCTGTCTGTACATAGTGGGTGAAGAGTATTGTTTAACTCTTATATAATAGTAATAATAGCTAGACTATTAATTAGTCTCGTCGAACATTAGACTAAACTCTAGTGGTAATGATATTAGGTTTTGTCGAAGGAAATTGTTTTAAGTAAACGAAGCGCTGTCCGAGTATAGAGTCACCACCTTATCAGGTGAGTGTATAGTCCTTTTCATCTTACACATAGATATGAAGTATTTTATATAAATTACGTGTTATGTGTGCATATTATCTGTATACTTGCTGTCTATGCTGGATGAATAATTTTATACATGTTTTAAATGAATTAAGTTGTATATGGATTTTATATCTACAAAATATGTTGGGTAAAACATGGGTAGATGAATGATGAGGGATAAAAGCTGGAATAGAGGAACATTAGCAGTATTGACATTTCCCTATAGGTGAACATTGGCAACAATGGACCTAGTACCCTATAGATGAGCATTGGCAGCTGCGCCACAACCTGTAGATGTTTTTGATCTACGATAAACATCCTAGCAGCTGCGCTCTAAGGATAGTATCGGCAGCTGCGCCTAATAGAGAACATTATAACCATGACAGTAGCGTCTAAAAGACAATACCGGCAAATGCGTCTCATAGAGAATGTTACAATTCTGGCAGCTGCGCCTTAATGATAATATTAGCAGCTGTGCTTGACAACTGTGTCATTGGCAACGATGGACTTTGTGCCGTTTCCTTAGGATGATCCTTAGGAATAAATGAACGAGGAATAGCTGATTCTTAGGGTAGATCCTTAAGAAGATAATGAGGATGGTAATTGAGTTGATTGTTTGATGTTTAAACATAATAATTATATTATTGTGGGTTGAAAACCCTATGTACTCACCAGGTTTCCCAACCTGACCCACTCAAGCTTATTTGTATCACAGGTGCCGATACGAAGTTACTCTACACCGAGAGATTTAAAAAAGATGTAGATCACTAGTGTAAATGAATGTAAGTTCTGTTTATGCTTATGTTTCTGTATTGACAGTGACATCCCAAATGTTTTAAACTGAATAAAAATACATTTCTTCGGAAATGCTATGATAACATATTTATCATGTTTTTCTGGGAACAAATTCCGTAACATTTTTATTAAAAGAGGTACTCTGATTTTTATAAAGCATAAACAAAATCGGTCTTTTCTGGCCGTGAAAATGAAGATGTCACAACTCCATTGTTAGAAATAGTGTCCAGTCATTAACTGTGTTGCTAATATTTCTAATAATAATAGGGTCCTTTTGGGTTTGCCTCATACGTGTGCTTTAACGACTTGTACAGGCCAAAATCGCAGATGAGTTTAATCTATCTGCGATTTTGATGGCTAAAAATTCAATTTTGGTTTTTTTTTTTTGCTATTTTCCATAAAATAATTAAGATTTTTGACTAAAATTTTTCAATTTTCGGAAGTTGTATTGTATATTTATATTTTTCACCAACCACCCATAACATATGTTAACCTGCCATTGATTCTGATTTTGAAAATTCTTTCTTCGGGGTTTGTAGAACTGTTCTTACTGTGTGGGTCCACATCCGCCATTCTTCCATATTCTAACTTCCTTTCTCCTCATTCTCTCTCTTGAACAGAAAGTTAAGCCAAGAAGAAATCCATAGATAAGCAGTTGGGGACTTGGGGTATTTGTTTGATGTAATGCTAGGGATCGACTTACAGACGGAGAGAGGTCACTATCTCATCCTTACGTGTTAATTGGGTTTCTATTTAATACTGGCAGGTTAACCTTCAAAACAATTTTCAATATTTACCATATTGTTTGTCACGATGGCATGATATGGTACAATGTTTCAGAGTTTTTCCTAAATTTTCTTTCAATTTCCTGTTTCTATGTTTGAATTTGAGTATATTTCGGGCAAGAACGTTTAATTGTCGACCAACAAGTCAACAGATCAACTTCATCATCTTTAATCTCGCCTCCATTAATCAGTTACATCCTAGTTCAGATAGTGATCGGCCGTTCATCTGATTCGGGTTGATGTTGTGTTGTCGTTCTTTTCTAATTTGTTTTGTGTATTTCAGTCAAGAGTTGTGATATTGATTCTGGTATATGTTTGTTAATGATTTCACATTGCTACTCGAAATGAAACAGTAATTTGATTCCTGGTGGTATTTTGGTTGTATCAGGTAGGCTCGTCTTCTTCAATCTTAGTGATTCTTTTGAACATTGACTTCATGTTTTCCAAATTACGGAGCTTACAGCTAACCCTTGTCAAATATAATTTGCAATTTCAAGTTGACTTAGTAAGAGAACTATTATATTTCTTTTTCTCTGTAAGAGGATTTGCATAATTGTTATCCAAACTACTTGTGATTTTGTTCCCTAGGCGACTTTGAGTATTGATCTAGGTTTTAACTTAGTAATTGATAGACGACTAAGTTAAACTTCCATAGAAGTTCACATTTTGCTAGGGCTTCCGGTCATTTGTAATGATTATTTCTTATGTTGCAGGACCCTTCATCTTTAAAGAGTTACTTTGTGATGCCAATTTTCTGGTGAAGGGGAAGAGTTAGAGGATATGACGCATGATAGTTTGATTATTCCATCAGCTTCATCAATCAGCCCAGCTGTGTCTCTGGCAAAAACTGATAGCTCCGTTTCATATTACAGTAAGTGCCTGTTTTTTTTTGACATACTGGAGGCACAACTTAGTTCAGTCAGATATATAGATGTGTCTTTTTGACTTAATACAAAAAGGACTCGATGGGGAAACTTCATTCAGACAATCTTTTTCAGTCCAAAAAAGGAATAGTTATCCATACATCACTGATGAAAGAAAAAAAAACAAATACAGACAATTGTTGAAAAACACCTTTCCCTTGATTACATCACAAGTAACATTTTCTTTTTAAGTCATAAATAATCTGTTTGATTATACTGTTTCAGATGATTATCTTGTGGATGTGCCCTCAAATGATAGGTAAGCTGATGGCCACACCTCACCAATCTCCTTTAAAAAAAAAAAAAGTTAGATGGATCATGTATCTATTACATAATCATATAATTGTTTACTTTTAGGTCCCTGAGAGAGGAATCAAGCAGTGGAATTCGTATCTTACAACAGGAGCATGAATCATGTGATGGAAATGGGGGTATTGATTCTCATATTTGGTTTCCCCCTGAACCAGAAGACCGAGAGGACGACATGGAGGGTAGTATTGGCAATTATGAGGACGATGATGACGATGAAGAGTACGGTGATGGCATGAAATGGGGAAAGCCAAGTAATCTGAGCAGCCTTAGAGAAGAAGGATGTGGGAGCTTTAGGTTTAGAGAAGAAACAAAAAAGGCAATGGATGAGGTTATGAATGGGAAGTTTAAGGCACTTGTGGAGCATCTTCTTACATCAATGGGCATTTCTTGTTCTGGGAATACGTGGGTGGATACAGTCACAGCTTTATCATGGGAAGCTGCTTCATATCTGAAGCCAGATGCTTTTGAGGGAAAAGTAATGGATCCTGATGGATATGTGAAGATCAAATGTATTGCGACCGGTTCTCGGACCCAAAGGTTAGTAGTACTAGTACTGACTGGTAATTTCTGTCTTGTTGATTGTGAGTTGTGAATTATATTATATTTATTTGGTTTTATGTTTTGCAGTAAAGTTTTCAAGGGCTTAGTCTTCAAGAAACATGCAGCTCACAAACACATGCCAACAAAGTATAGAAAACCCAAGTTGCTATTGATCAAGGGTGCACTTAGTGTTTCTTCAGATGGACTATCATCCTTTGAGTCGATGAAACAGGAGAATGAGAGGCTAGATTATCTAATTGGGATGATAGAGAAGTTGAATCCAAATGTCGTACTAGTTGAGAAAACCGTTTCACGAGATATTCAAGAGTCTATCCTTGCAAAAGGGATGACATTGGTATTGGAAATGAAACTACACCGGTTGGAGAGAGTTGCTCGTTGTACTGGCTCACCAATCTTGTCCTCTGATATGCTGCTGCTGAATGACCAAAAGCTGAGGCACTGCGAATCCTTTTATTTTGAAAAGATTGTAGAAGAACATGCTGCTCTTTGTGATAATGGAAAACGCCCTAAGAAGACATTAATGTTTCTCCAAGGCTGTCCCACACGAATGGGATTTACGGTCAGTTTATATACTCTCTCTCTCTCTCTCTCTATATATATATATATATATATATATATATATATACACACTGTTACTGTTGTTGTTGATCTGACTGACTAATTAATCCACACATACATACATACATACAGATTCTGCTGATGGGATCTCACAGTGATGAACTTAAAACCATAAAATGTGTTGTTCAGTTTGCGGTTGTAATGGCATACCATTTGATCCTTGAAAGTTCATTCCTTGTGAATCAACGGGCAATGTTATCCACGACTGCCCCGGATGGAATGGCTATATTTTCAACTAAACCTGTGTTTGTGTATAAAGGTCTTGATATTCCTGTAGCCAGTGAGTCGAGTACGGAAACTACAACTAGTGATAATTTGATCACCACCATTGATATCCCCATCTCCAATGGATTTCTTCAAGAAAATGGGCCCGACAACTTGGGTCTGGAAGGGCATAGTTTATCATCTTATGAGCCATATGACCCAATTGTTCTCTCAGGGTTATCTTCACTCTCAGCCTCTTTACAGGAAGTTGTAGGGTACCCTCTTTTCAATGCTACCCCCCAAGACCAAGACCAAGATCATGAGGAGGAGGAGGAGGAGACATACCTTGGCTATAACACCCCCCTTGACCGCACCGAAACCAGCTCTCCAGATACGGAAACAGAGTTGCTTCCAAGAAACTTGTCCTTAGAAACAAAAGATTCTGAAGAGCGTATGCAACGTAAGGATGACATTACTGCGGTTTTGGATTCCGAGAGCATATTAGTTTTGATGTCTAGAAGGAATGTCACAAGAGGGACTACGTGTAAGCAAAGTAGCTTTTCATGTATCAAGTTCTACCGGAATTTCGATGTGCCCCTCGGAAAGTTTTTGCAGGATAACTTACTCAATCAGGTTGCTTTAAACACCATATATATATATATATATATATATATATATATATATATATATATATTCTCTTCCTTTTTGGCTGCGTTTGTTACATGGATTGGATGTCTTTTGCATGTAAGAGAGATCGAGGGCGAGTATCTTTTCAGGCGTGACAAAAATTGCAATTTTCCGTCCCAATGACATCAGCCTGGTGCATGCCAAAGGCAGTACAACCTTTTCTATTCTATCATTTTCTCTGTGCCTTAGTTCACAAGCTTCATGCTTTTACAAATAATACTTTGTTTTCTTCTGCTTACTTTCGAGTATTCTATCTTCTCTCCTAAATATTTCTTATCTTCGTTTCTTTCATATTACTAAATTCTACTTTGTAAAATCTACCCAATAATAGCAATAAAAGTAGTTTTCACTGCTGTAATTGAGTACATATTTTAAAGTACAATGTTCTAATAAGAAAGCAATTGAAGCTACAATGCTATATATAATTGGGTAGATTTGTTGAAGTTCAGTGCCTTGATAAGAAAAAGGAAAATTAAAACTACAATATTGTAATAGAAAGAAATGGAAGTAGGATGTTATAATACAGTCACATATGAGTGAAAGTATGTTGCTATCTCTTGCATTTTATTTAGCCGAATATATCAAACCATAATTTTATAGTTGGCACTGACAGCTGTGAACCTATGCAGAAGCTTTTGTGTGGAACATGTAATGAACTACCAGAAGCTCATCTTTCGTACTATGCACATCAGAACAAGCAACTCACAATTCAAGTTAAACGTCTTCCTTCAGATAAGCAGTTGCCTGGTGAAAATGAAGGAAAGCTTTGGATGTGGAGTTGTTGTGGCCAATGTAAACCCTCCAATGGAAGCTTAAAGTCTACCAAAAGAGTATTGGTCTCCGTTGCTGCTCGTGGGTTATCCTTTGGGAAGTTCTTAGAACTTGGCTTCTCCAACCACTCTTCATGGGAAATACCATCTAGCTGCGGACATTCCTCTTATGCTGACTATTTTCACTTCTTCGGGTATGCACTTGTCCATTTTTCGACTATGTTTGTTTGATCCTTACTAGGAATTCGAGTTCTATCAACATTCTCCATTTTAGGGGCGATGAAAATGTATGCTATGTCCCTCATGCATTCTCGCCTTAGCGGTATACAAGTGAAAATCCATATGTGAGGCATCATCACCTTCCTTCCTTGCTATGGGGACATTGTAATTTGTCTCCTCTATGGGACTGTTGGTGGGGGCTAGGAGTGGTCAGTGGTGTATACCCTATTTTTATTGTGTAGAGTTCTTGCCATAATATGCTGATTTGACAGAAATTCAATTTTTTTGTCTCATACGCGATACAAAGAAGGGTAAAGGTCACTGCTGAGCCCTAGTGCTCTCTCTGGTAATGGGGAAGGAAAATCATAATGTACCTAGTGCATGGAACATACTATGCTTGAAGCTGAGACCACACTTAATAGATTCTCACCTCTTTACTTCTGGGGCAACTAAGCGTACGCAATAGATATAGTGAAATAGTGGTTTGAAAATGTCATTATTCTAAAACTAGGAAGTTATCTATGGTACACCTTAAACCATTACTTTTTTGCAATTAGAACTAACCTAACTGACTAACTCGGGGAATATATATATATATATATATATATATATATATATATATATATATATATATATATATATATATATGTAAGGGCTTCTGCCCAGCGGTATCAGGTATTGCCCTCCTTCCTTGTGGTCTAGGGTTCAAGTCCTGTTAGGGACATAGGTGGATTTAGGAGTAACTTAGGTAGGAGTAGAGTAGATTTGGCATTCTAAAAAGTATATGTACATATACATATACATATAGATATCCATATGCGTATACATGTTTATGTATATGTATATATGCATATATTTATATTTTCTGATAAGATGGTTGTGAAACTTGCAGATCAGGCTCCATGGTTGCAATGTTTAGATACTCAACAGTGGCTACTTACTCTGTATCTCTGCCGCATTGGAAGGTCGAGTTTACCAATTCAATAGAAAGAGATTTTCTTAAAGAAGAAGTTGCGGATGTATGTATATTCATAAGTAGTTTATTGGCTTAGTGTTGAAAGTTGCATATGTAATTTTTTTTTTAGCGTTGGTCTAGCCAGTTAATAACTTGTTATAGCGATTAAACCATTATACTTATTTTGACCTTCAAAAATCAGTTTTCCCAGTTACATGGTTTTGATATAAGGGGAGAAAGAAAAGCACAACTTACTTTCATCATTCTATCAGTCTAGCCATTGAACTATTGATTTAGCCACTGAACTGTTATTATATAATCATAAGAACTAATAGCTCAATTTGATAAAATAGTGAAAGTATGTTGTGCTTTTTTTTCTTTGACCTTTTAAAATTGATTTTCTTCAACGGTTAAAAGAGTAAAAAGGTAGTTAAATGGCTAGATAGATTAAATGATGAAATTACGTTGTATTTTGGCCTATATTATCTGCAGTCATTTAATAAAATTTAACTTGTTGGGGTGTGAAGGTGTACCAGGAAGGGCAATCAGTGTTTGCTGAGGTTGAGAACTCCCTGAAGAAGATGGAAGACAAGTTTGGTGGATCAACACTGAACATTCAAGGATCATGTAAAAGATTCTCTGACATCAAAGAGATGTTGAATAAAGAGCAAGATGAATATGAGGTTGGTTACTTTCTCATCACTCATAGATAAATGATAGATCTCATTTCATTGGGTGTTTTGTTACTCTATCTAAGCCCTACAAAGGCTGCACTTGTTACACTGGACAGAATTGGATATATATATATATATATATATATATATATATATATATATATATATATATAACACATATCTAAACCCAAAGTCATGGCTTGTGAGAAGCACCAACCACCTTTTCAAGGAAAGTGTGACAAGTTATCTCATGAAAAATCTGATACTTGAAGAAAACCATATCATCTCTACAATCATAATGTATCCCCAAAAACCAAAGGAGGAGTTTTTGAAGCATCAACCTCAAGTCCTTATAAGTAATAAGAAAACCATGATCACAAAAATTCCAATGTGAATTGGGCTCCTTGCTATGTACATGATTTACATCTCAAATGGCAGAAGAATAATACAATGTAGATGTTCTGACACTAAGACGTGCTATTATCCAGTAATCATGCTCCCAAAGTCTTCCTATGAGGAATATTAACACCAATATGTATCCCGTTATATATATACTTAAGCGCATACTTTTCCTATTGCATACGCATTTGTTCCTTCTGTTTAGAAGTCATGCTGAATAAGAATTTTTTGGCAATGACAAAAAACTAAAAAAAGCTTAACCACTTAATTTAATTATAAATCTACCCAATTGTAGCAACGCCATCCAAATACAAGGCAAATTTTCACTGCTGTATTAGAGTAGATTTTCCAAAGTCTAATAATAATTGGGTAGAGTACAACTACAATCAATGTCCAACTAAGAAAATATGAAATTACAGTGTTGTGATAGAGAGAAATGTTTTTTTATTTTTACGTTGTTTGAATCGTCCATCTAATACTATAGGTTAAGATGAAGAAGCTGAGTGAAAGCACGAGCATGACTAAATGGCTGTACAAGCCTCTGCACTTGAATTACATACAATGGGAGGTTTTACTTCGTTCATACATCTGGGATGAGCGCATCCATTCACTCCTTTCATCCGATCTTATTGTTGACCCCCAAACCGTCCGTGAATCACAGCGTCCTCATCATCTTCAGGAGAAAGATACCACCACCATCAGCATCACTGAAAATGGTAATATCAAAATCGATACACATACACCCGAACCCAGAGAAGCAAATGGCTTATCAGTTGAACCAATCACAACCGAAGAAGCTGTTGTTGATGATGAAAATGGTGGAGTTTCTTCGGCTTTTTCATCAAAATCAGCCGATCCCAAAGGGTGGATGTGGACACCATTCTCGCAGATTGAAAGCATTTATGTGAAGGATCTCCACAGAGGGTACTTGCCCAAATATGAAGCTTCCGGAATACACAAAATGATTACCCAGTCCCAGTCCCAGTCCCAAGGCGAAGAGGGCTCAAAGATTCATTTCCCATTGGGTACAGAAAATCTTCTTATGGTATCGGATTATGAAGACGAGTTATCAAGTATGATAGCATGTGCGTTGGCTTTTCTAAAGGACGGAAATAGTAATACATCATTGGAATTTGTAAGTGACGATTCAAAATCATACGAAAGTTTACCGAAAATGTTGTCTTTGAGTTCCCCAAATTGGTCTTCCTTTACCTCCATGGATTCCGATGTAGAAGACTCCCGTTTTTCGAGCTTTGATGGGTTGGAATTGCTGGATTCCGTTGCTGCTTATCTTCACCCCGTGATTTCCATGGGAAGATTAGCCAACAGATCTAAATATTCGGTAGCTTGTTTATTTGCCAAAGATTTTCTCGATCTTCGTGGTCAATGTGGTTTATCTGAGCTTGATTACATTTCTTCATTAAGCCGTTGTAAGCATTGGGATGCCAAAGGTGGAAAGAGTAAATCTTTCTTTGCTAAAACTCTTGATGACCGCTTCATTATTAAGGAAATTAAGAAAACCGAGTTTTACTCCTTTCTTGAATTTGCTTCTCACTATTTTGGGTACATGAATCAGTGTTTTAAACTTGGAAATCAGACATGCCTCGCCAAAATTCTTGGTATTTATCAGGTTTGTTTCTTCCAGGTTTTCTACTTTTAGTTATTTGGGCTAAATGCAAGAGATGGCCGTTTTCCTTTTTTCAGTTCTTTCTATTTTCTGATTTCTTTTTTCTTATCTAGGCATTGTACTTTGAAAATCTATCCAACTATAGCATTTGTTTTTTCATATCTGACATTATACTTTGTGAAAATTGCTTTGTACATGGATGACACTGCTATATTTGGGTACATACAACTTTAAAGTGCAATGATGTAATAGGAACAAGTGAAAATAGTATGTTATAATAAACAAATCAACAATGAACAACCTACTTTGATGAAGCTGTTGCTTTTAAACCATTGAAGTATTTTGAAAGTAAATAGTTTATAGTAGGTAGTGGTATTCTTTGTGGATGTAAATGGGGGGGTTATATGATATATGGAATGCAGGTAAAGAAAAGAAAGAGTGGGGCTAAACATGATCTAATGGTGATGGAGAACATTAGTTATGGGAGAAAAATTACGCGGCAGTATGATCTGAAAGGAGCTCTGTATGCTCGTTTCAATGCTGTTGTTGATGGTACAGGAGACGTTCTTTTGGACCAAAACTTTGTAAATGACATGAATGTGTCTCCTTTATACGTTAATACAAAAGCAAAGCGGAATCTGCAACGCGCTGTGTGGAACGATACTGCCTTCCTCAATGTCAGTCACTATTCCCTTACTTTTTCATTTATGCCTGCCACTTAGGCCTTGTTTATCTCCATAAAAATGTATTTTAGATGGCCCACTTCCAATTGGGGGAATGGAAGTGACCAAAAAATTTGCAACCTCTCTCTATATACCTTCATGGATTAAGTTTCCTCCGCATTAAGTCAAAAAGAAAGAGCACGAGCTCTTTCTTTTTGACTTAATACAAAAAGACTCATCCCCACTAAGTCCTAGCTTTTTGCAATTTTACCCTCTCTCTATATACCTTCATGGATTAAGTTTCCTCCGCATTAAGTCAAAAAGAAAGAGCACGAGCTCTTTCTTTTTGACTTAATACAAAAAGACTCATCCCCACTAAGTCCTAGCTTTTTGCAATTTTACCCTCATTATTTCTTTTCCTTGCATTTCCAAAGTTTGTGTCCATTTTCTCAAGTATTTTTTAAACACACCTACACAGAAACTGCTTCCTTTTTTTTTTTTTTTTCTTCTAAACAACACAATTTACTGCTTCCCTTTCCCATCATTAAGAATATTGTTTTGCCAGTAATATAATATGATGAGCAGGCACCATACTTTTTAAAATATCTGTTACCAGTCTTCTCTTAGAAGTCATTGTGGCAGTTGAATCTGAAAAGTATTTCATGCTTTTGACTTGAAACATGGCTGATGGAGACCGTTTTTGCTATTTGTCAAATATCTAAACTAAAAGATTTAGATAATACAAAGTATAGGAAAATATTGGTCACTAGTTTATTTGTAATACTTATACTTATACGGGCAATGTGCTTTATTTTTAACCCACAATAGCAACACCTATACTAAGAACGTACTTACATTTTTACCAATCTAATCAATATTCAACCCAAAACCTGAAAAATGCTTAATAGTTTCAATTTACAAATTAAGGAATGTAAGTACATTGCTATTATGGATAAGAAGTTCTAAGTACATTGCTAATATGTGTAAAGTAACGTAAGTATGTTGCTATTATAGGATTATATATATTTTATGTGCAAAGTAATATAAGTATGTTGTTATTGTTGATTTATATATTGCTATTATCTGTAAAAAAAAGTGCATTGCTATTATTGTTAAAAAATGTACGTAGATTTTGCTATTATGGAAAAAGAAACATAAGTAGTTGCTATTTTGGTTAAAAAAATAAAGTATGTTGCTTATATTGACAAAAAGTGTAAAATACGTTGCTATTTCTATCCACTGTTAATATGTGACAAAAGTTGGACCGCAGCAGTCACAATACAGAGTAGGAATTAGGCCGTGTTTTTTTTTTTTTTCCAGTTAAGTGTGGTCTGGATAAAGTGGTTTGTGTGAAAAATGTGTGAGAATTAGACCCATGACTTTCTGTATTAAATAAAACTTTCTGCATTACTCATATGTGATATGTAGATATAGAATAGATGTTGATCAAGGAAAAAAGTAACAGAAGCTTAGAATTGATTATTAATAAATGATATTTTATTGGTTTTGATATATTCAGTCGATCAATGTGATGGACTATTCATTATTGGTTGGAGTGGACGTGGAAGAAAAGGAGCTGGTATGCGGCATAATCGATTACGTGCGACAATATACTTGGGACAAACAGCTGGAGAACTGGGTGAAGTCCTTTGTGGTCCCCAAAAACCAGTTGCCTACCATAATCTCTCCAAAAGAATACAAAAAAAGATTCCGAAAGTTCATTGACACCCACTTTTTCAGTGTCCCTGATGACTGGTGTTCTCAAAGACCCTCCAACCGCTGCACCCTTTGTGGTTCCAACACCCCAAACCCAAAGGCGAAATGAAAACTTGTTATTAAATTTTGGATGCATATACATACATCACCATGAACCATCAACGCTCAACGCCACCCCATCCATTCTGCACCTTTTTAGCAAATTTCTGGGGATAATATGTATTAGTTTTTAAGTGCCGGGAAATCCACCAGCTGGTAGCTTTTATATATATATATATATATATATATATATATATATATATATATATATGTTGTACAAATGTTACGTTGGAAAGAGTTGTGTGTTTGTTTGCAATGAATGACAAAAAGTTTAAAACCACCACTTTTTCCCTACATTATCAAGCCATACTCCAAAACGAAGGATCCATAAATAAAACCACTAACGAATGAGTCAATACCATTTCTAATTAAGTCAATAAAAAACTATTAAAAAATAAATAATTTCAGTTGTTAACTATTATCCTATATATAATATATATATATATATATATATATATATATATATATATATATATATATATATATATATATATTAAAATTTCTTTAATAAAAAATATATTTGTCATAATCTATCATAATTGTTTTTTTATTTATGCTTGCTTAGTATTGTATTAATATTTTTTTCTCTTTATTTTCAATATTTGAGTAAGCTCGCATTAATCTCTTATTATTCCATACACGATAGGTGGTTGTTCTCGCCGCACCTAGTTGGTTAATCTCTCTATACACAAATAGTAATATTATGATATTCATTATATTGGTGGGACTAAGGTTTGTTTTTTTTTTTTATAATTATTATTATTAATGTCAAGCAAAAACAAAAAGGTATAATTACAACTATTTATAACCAAACATAACTATAATAACAAAGAAATATAGTTTCATTTACCATTGTTTTGTTAATTATAGTTATATTTTAAGTTTATTATGCATGCATTAATATTAAGAGAAATCTCCAATAAAGTCCTAATATTTTAGGTCAGTTAATGATTTAGTCTAAAATTAAATTTTGTTTACAAAAAAGGACAGATTACCGGCTAAAACTTCAGAATAACCCTTTGTGACCGGTTTCACAGATTTAGCCGATATCTTGTCTTTTTTCGTTAATTGATCCAAAATTTTGGGCTTTTCCATTAATTAATCAAAATTTTAGGGTTTTTTTTCATTATTTTTTACCAATAAACCAAAATATTTGGACTTTTTTGAAGATTACATTTACAGTAATATATATTATATGATCTAAGTACATATGTACCATTCCTTGTCTTCTTTCTTGCGCTCTTTCTAGTCTCACCGTGTGTTTTCATCGTCGTTGTCAAACCCAACAACAAAAACTCACTCACAAGCACCGTTAACTCCATCGATTTTCCAAAATCATCCATTCACAACTCTAAGATCATCTTTCATTCTCCAAATAAAGAAAGGAGAAATCTTTGCTGATTATGTGGATGCCCCTATTACCTAACCATGACTTAAACCATAGTTCCAACACTCGGATGTTCCTATTACCTAACCATGATTCGAACAATTTTTCGAACCCATACACTAATGGCGTTGTCCATTGTAACATCCTGAAAACCACAAGGTAAAAATTTCATTTATAATTCAATCAAGACACCAATTATCTTTATTTTAAACATTAAAAGTAGTTCATAATAAAATAGTTATCAGAGTGAAATCCCAAAATCATCATAGTGCGGAAACATGGATGGATGCGCTGCGATAAAGCCGAACCCTTCCCTTTTTAAAACGGAAATACCTGAAACAAAAATCCGAAAAACCGTAAGCACGAAGCTTAGTGAGTTCCCTAAAATACCACATACCATACATATCAACATATACTGGCCCTGCCTATCATCAGGCCCCGCCTGACATCGAGCCCCGCTCGGTATACATACCTGTCACACCCCCAAACCGAGATGACGGAAACATTCGGGGGTGGAGGACGTCATGTACAGTATCACAACAATGCGAAATAGTAAAACAAGCAACAACATCCATTGCATTAATATTATAGTTAATACACTCGTGTTCTTTGTATAGTTTGTATGACACCAAAATGTATAGCAAAATAAAAGACGAGTCTTGAATATGCTCCGTCTTCTCAAAACCTGTGGAAGTGTACCTTTCTATTGGTTTCCTGAGAATACAAGTTATTTTGAAAGAGAGTTTCAACATTTAAGTTGGTGTGTTCATAAGTATTTAGTATTTAAAGTTTGTGTTTGTTCTATAAAAATGTTAGTATGTTTCGCAGAAAATCCCATATTTTCTATAATAAATGAAAAGTAGTCTTCGACCTTAAGACCCAAATGGTTGTATGTTTGTATTCTGAAATAGTGCAAATGTATGTTTTCCATAACTGTAGACTATTTTTACTAGAAAAATAGTATATCGTTCTCGTAAGAACGTCACAGTATGCATATAATGGAAAATAATGATTTGCAGTAGTATTGTTTAAAATAAAACCACTGAAGTAATGTTTGTCTTGTAAACCGAATTGTTTAGTTAATGCTTAATGTGAATGAGATTATAACCATACTTAATTGAATAGTATACTACACGACGTTCTTCAGGCGTCGAAAAACTTATGACATTTGTCACCCGTAGACCTGCCGGTCTCAACTGTAGCTAACAGCCAAGGTGCGGGACTGTCAGTCCCGTATAGATCTATACACAAATTCACGCTCTCCCTCCAGGAGACACTGGTTATAAAACATGACTTAGCAAGGATTTTACTAAGTACCATTGTGACAACCCGAAACTTTTTCCGTTATCCTTACCCAGTTTCCGTTTATAAAAATTTGGGTTTTTAGTTAATTCCGTCAAATTTCTTAGTTTGGGAAGGACCTTACGTTCTAAATAAATTCGAATTGATTTATTTTCGTTCACGTTAGTATTATTTTTGGTCTAAAGGAGATTCTAACTCAATTCGATCGAGTGTCGTATTCGAAAACGAGGTTTTCTAAGTCAAAGCATAGCATCCGGGCCAAACAAACCTTCGAGAGGAGCTTACGGCCGCAAACACAGCTTACGGCCGTAAACTCTGTTTACGACCGTAAACCCTATTTACGGCCGTAAACCCTCCACCCCACCCCTTGGCCGTAAACTCACCCCTATATAAGGGATGAGTGGCCTTCATTTCTCACTTTACACACTCCAGAAGCTTTCTTCTCTCTCTGCTCTCTCTCTCTTTCTCTCTCTACAAACTTCGAATTCTCTCCAAGATCTTCAAGAAGTAAGTATTTTTCCACATTGAATGTTGTTTCAAATCCATTTCTAGTGGTAAATCCATGTTCCTATCTCATGAATCTCATCTTTTCTAGATTTTCTCTCTCACTAAGAACACCAAGAACACACACTAGTTCTTAGTGGCTAAAAACCTCATTTCAAGCTTCCACTACGTAAGTACACTACTCTTAGCTTGTTAGATACAAGAATCACCTGTTAAACATCTAGAAATCGTGACCAAAAGGGTGTTTACGGCCAAGGCAATCTCCCTTGACCGTAAACTCTATTTAAGTGGTGCAAAGTTGCCACAACACCCTCCTAAGCCTAGAAACAAGGCTTAGAACACTTCCAGAAGGCTAGAAAGGACCTTGAAACGCCGAAAATCGCATCTCTCACCAAGTGTTTACGGCCGTAAACACATGGGCCGTAAACCTATAGGCCGTAAACCCATGGGCCGTAAACCCATGGACTGCAAACACTTGGGCCGTAAACATATGGGCCATAAACCCTATTGGACCACAAACCCTTGACCGTACACTCCTGATTACGGCCGCAAACTCCCCTCTTCAATCACATGTGATTCTAACACTTAGTGTTAAAGTGTTTCCTAGTCCCTAAGTGGGTTTCCTTCCATAACAAATAGTGTTATGCCCTCACCTAATGTATATACGTACTTTACATGCTAAATAGGATCCGGTTGTGCCCCGAGGCTTTATTTGACAATCAGAATCCTAGCATGTTACACTCGAATCCCACGTCAAACAGTGAGTTTACATACCCCTACGCGTTTTTTCCGGTTTTTCATGTTTTCGGGGGGGGGGGGGGGGGAATAAAAGCAAAAGTACAAGGAAACTTGTACTCAAAGTATATATTTTGTTTAAAATAATTATATGTTTCAGTATGCTTTTACACAGAAAACCGTTTTACCAAACGATTAAGAAATCAACTCGTAGAAACAGTTTTCAAAACTAAAGCAAGGAACTTGTGAATCTTGTCATAAAATGTGATATTTTATAAAGAGTTCATACGAAACATAAACATGATTTTCAGTATTATTACATGCAAATTGTTAGTCTTAAGTTGGAGACACGTCCTTGGTAACACTCCCACCGGATTCGAGAGTGTAGGACTACCACTTGAAACCAGGATCTCTTGTAGGGAGAGCGTGACTGCTGTGTATAGATCTATACGGGACTGACTATCCCGCACCTCGCTGCTAGCTACAGTGGGACCGTCAGGTCTACGGGTGACAAAGTCATAAAATGATACTGGCCCCGTTACGTGCCATATCAAGTCTAAGTACGGTTTATGACACTCGCAACCTAGATAACGAATTTACTTTTGTAATAATGAACAAGTGAACTAACCTCAAAGTAATAACCGATTTGATTACTAGAGTGTATTAATAATACCCTTAGGATTTAGTTCACCGCTTATTTATTAGTTTTTATTTATGTAATAAGGCTAATACACCTCACTGAGAGCAAACAGGGTTTTTCAAGGAAACTACATCTAACGATACAAGTATGGTAGATACTTGTACACCTCAGACAAGAACAGAAAACCAACGATCAACTTTTAAGGAAAATATAGGATTTTTCTGGGGTAACTCAACCTTACATAAATAGGCTGTTTAACATACAACTAACGGATAATCAAACACCTTTCATAAGAAAATATAGGATTTTCTTGGGAAACACTTTTCAAAGGATCAAAGAAACATTTCTTTCACCAGAACTAAACGCTTATGAACTCATCAGCTTTATGCCGATATTTTAAAACTGCTTGTATTCTCAGGGCAACAATAGACAGGTACTCTTGCCAACTTTTGGAGAAGACGGAGCATTTTGGAGAAGACGTCTTTTACTTTTCTTTCACCAGAACTAAACGCTTATGAACCATGTTTTCAAACAATGTAAATATTCTTATTATAATGTAATGGTTGTGTTTACTTCGCTTACTATGATACAACTGTT